TATTTCTATATAAGATACTGTTTTTTCCTTGCTTGTAATGGGATGCTTTCTACTCCTTTTAAAAGCTTTCATATGGCTTTTTATAATAGCTTTTTAAGAGTAGAATGGTGTTCTTATATTTGACATAAGAGATTTACTCTATGTTTTTCTTGCTATGCTTGGATGGCTTTGCTAAAAGGGTTATAAAAACCGCTAACATTCTTTATAAATGGAATTTAAATACACCTCTGACTTGTGAGTTTTGTGCTAGAGTTGAAGAATATCATAATCATCTCTTTTTTGAATATGAGTTTTCTTTTTTGAATCTTTCAGAATAGATTCCCAAATTGAAGCATTTCATTTTTAAGCATACTCTTATTCAAGTATTTAACTTTATTTCTGATTTAGATTTGGCTAAGGATGCTAAGAATATATTTTTCTTGCTTCTTGTTTTACTATATTGTTTGTGGAAAAAGAAATGAGAGAAGATTTGCGAGTCATTTCAATTAGCGGTGTCAATTTCGGGTCACGCTGGTCCACGGGCAGTCGGGCAGCCATTTTAAATAGGTTTATGGGTTGACCCGGCAACCCGTTGGGTCAACCAGAACCTGACCCGTTTTTCAAACGGTTCGAATTTGAGAACCCGAACCCGACCCGTTTAGGAAACGGGTCGGTCTAACCCAAAATTTCCGAGTCAGATTTTTGTGTCGTGTCAAATATTGACAACCCTAATTTTAATAGCAATGTTTGATTGGCAGACTTATTAAACAGGCTATTTTGGCTAATATTTCCTCTCGGAAATCTTTCCATGAGATTCAATTTTTGATTCCTTGATCCTTCTGTTCTGTTGGTTCTTGGTTGTTTATTTTTTTGTATTATTTGGTCGTTTCCAAGAGGGGGTTTATTTTATTTTATTTTTTTGCTTCATTTTTTTTTTATTTTTTTGGTCTAGGTTTTTTTTTTTTTTTTGGTTTTTTTTTTTTTTTTTTTTTTTAATTTTTTAGTTGAGGTTGTTCTTCTCTATCTGATTGCAATTCAGATCTTTTTATTGGGTCTTGTTGGAGTTTTTTTTTTTTAAAAAAATCTCCTTTTCTGCGGCCTTATGGCGCTTTGTTTTGTTCTTTGCCACCCTGGTTGGAGGAAATCTTTTTTGTTCAAAATCATTAATATTCTAGGGTGTTAAATGTAAAAAATTATATGTTAAATTGTGATAAATTCTGAGAAATTATTTGGCAAAGTAATTGAGGATTTAAGACAAATGGTTTATTTATAAATTAAATTTTATGTATTTTAAATTTAATTTTCTTGTTAAAAATGAATTACTTATTAACTTTAATTTTATTTATCTTTAAAAAGTTTTAATGATAAATAAAATAACTATTAGTTGATTTATGTTACAAATTATAAAATTTGTTATTTAAGAGCTAATTATCAAATTACTTATTATATTATTCATTATCTAATTATAATTTTTGAAGCCTAACTAATTTGTTAGTTATTGTTGAAATTAGAAATTATTTAACTAATACTCATATTAATGATATAATTAATTATTTAAGCTTTTGATTAATTTTTAATTAAATGTCCAAGGTTACTTTTCATCTTCTTTCCGTGCTGCTTCGTTGTTGTTGATTTTCCTGGTCATCATTTCTTCATGCCTGCTTCGGCTTCTCGTGCTGTGCGTGCTTTGCGTAACGGGAGCTCGCCCGCTGCTTCGCCTCCTATGAAGGCCTCGGATTGGAAGTCACGAAGGGAGCTCGCTCCCTGCGTAGGTATCCTTTGACTCTTCCTTCCTTCATGATGGGAGCTAGCTAGCTCGCAAGCTCGTAAATCCCATTATCGGTAAATTCTTAAATTCATTAAACCTAGGGATTTAATAAATCCTAAATTTATGTGGTAAATCCTAAATTTACTAAGGACTGGGATTTATAGAGCGTTCGAAAACCGTTTGGCCAGATTTACCGTGAATCTAACGTAAATTCGAGCATAAATCTGATACCAAACGGCCCCTTTAGTTTGGACCGGGTCGTACACGAGAGTTGAGAGGCTTCCAATTTCTATTTTTGGATGCTTTGGTTTAGTCCGGAACAATTTTTTTATTATTTTTTAAAATAAATTTTTAGCATAAAAATTGTAATTATTTAAAATATTTATCTAAAAATTATTGTAGAAAACAATAAAAAAATTATCGCAAACAAACAAACGAAGACTTCTTTTTTCTACTCAAGAAACCTGCAGCCATTTTGGGGACTCTTTGCTTTAAAATTAAAAAATCTACTCTCTCTCTCTCTAAAGTATCTAATTTGAAGAATTTCTATGAAAGAGATCTCATCTATTGAGGTATTTTTATTGGGATTTTGTCATTAATTGCTGAATTTATTTCTCTTACTTATTTTATCTGTGACCTAATATGATTCTTTTGCTTTCTTTGATTTGTTGGACTTTGGATGTTCCTATCAAGTAATATTTTGTAGTCTCTCTTAGAGATGTTGCTTTTTTTCTAGTGTTGCTCAGATGGTGGTTTCTTTTATCTTTTTGAAGTTGTTTCTCTTAGATGGGGGATATACTCAGTTTAGGGTTTCATGTGTGTCTATGGATCCAATCAACTTCAGAAGTCTTTTTGATGCCTTCGATGGTTTGAGGATATCTTTTTATGGATGATGAATGTCATTGCGCTTATATGATCTTTCATCCCCTTGGATGATCTGCAGATAGGGGTGTCAATATTTGACGTGTCCAAAAATTTTTGGATTATAGTCAACCCGTTTGAAAAATGGTTCGGGTTCGGGTAAACCCCTTTGAGAAAGAGGTCAGGTTTGAGATTTTGACCCGTTTGTAAAATCGTGTCGGGTTAGGATTGATTCAGAAACCTGAAATCAACCCTAGTTTGACCCAAAATTCTTGCTACCACGCTTCGGCTCTCATCTTGTTAGCCCACCAACGACGAGCGAACTGTACTCCCGCATCTCGGCGGTGATTTACGGGATTAGCACCACAGTGGCCCGAGTTAAAATTATCATTAAATGTAAAAACTGTAACATAACTTTTAGAATTAGCAGCAATCACCATTGAACTTTTCTCATTGCCTTCATGAATCACTTATTCCCAGACTTCTATGAATAGGTCGGCCCAAATTACATTCATTTAAAAAACCCTAAATCCTAAACCCTTCTCAGGTCGGCCCAAGGATACACAAAGATCGCGAGCGTTTCCCCCCAAAGGATATTCTCCTAACCCTCGGCGCCGGCATGCTCTGGCTCGGCTAGACCTGTTTTAACGGCGACGCTCCTTACGCCGCCAACTTCGACTCCTCCGTCGCCATCCTAAACACCAACATGTGCACCTCCATCAGCCTTCTCATCTGGCTCTGCCTCGACATCTCCTTTTTCGGCAAACCCTCCGTCATCAGCGTCGTTCAGGGCATGATCGTCGGCCTTGTCACCGTAACCCCTGCCGCCGGCCTCGTTCAGTCCAGCTCCGCCCTCCTCATCAGCGTCTTCTCCGGCAGCATTCCTTGGTTCACCATGATGGTTCTGCACAAACGCATTCGCTTTTTGAAAATGATCGACGACACACTCGCCATTTTCCACACGCACTGCGTCGCGGGGGCGCTGTGCGGGCTGTTGACGGGCCTGTTGGCCGACCCGAAGCTGACCAGGTTGTTTTTTGGGGATGACCTGAAATTCATTGGGCTGGTTTTCGGGTTGAAGGATGGGCGGGTTCGGGTCGGGTTGAGGCAGATGAGAATGCAGGTGGTGGGGATGTTGTTTGTTGGTGTTTGAAATGTGGTGGTGACGACGGCGATATGTGTTGTGATTAGGATGGTGGTGGCGCTGAGGATGAGGGAGGAGGGATTGGTGGTGGGCGATGATGCCATACATGGGAGGATGCGTATACGGTATGGGGGGATGGGGAGACATATGAGAGGTCTATTCATAGGCATGAGGGGTTTGATGGGGTTAAGGATGAGGAGATGATGTGATTGATGTATGATTGATGGATGGTTGAATAATTCCGTAGGGAGTCGGAAAGGAAGTTCTCAATTTAGAATCTATCTTTTTTTAACTTAATTTAGGATCGACATGGCATTGACAATTTTAAATTTTTTTTATTAGAATTGTTATATAAAAAGATAAATTATATAAGAAAAAAATTTACAATCAAAATCACTTCATATTTTACCTGCATTATACCTACAAATTTTCTTTTTGAGTCTTCATACTTTGAAATCATTGTACAATCACTTTATTATCAATATTATTAAAAATATCTTTTTTCAATATAAGTAATCAAACAATCATTCGTCCAAGAGTCTCTCATTCAATTACACAAATGATTCTTCACATTTTTTTTTCTCTAGGAGTTAATTTCTTTGACAGAAGAAATTATTATTTTTTATTTTTTGCTCTCTAACCAAAAATATGTGTAAAAAGATCTCTCTAAGTTTTTTTTTGACATAAAAACTCTCTTTAATGTAAAAAACTAATTAACAATTAATTTTTAATTTGTTTGACATTCTCCAATGAGTGTATTATATTTATAAAATATCTAATCTCTTTGGCATAAATTTTAGAGAAGATGGTTTGATAAATTAAAGCTTGCTTTAATATTATTAATTGCTATTACAACAATCGAATGAGTGTTTTTAGTTATGAAAATTGTGAAGAATCATTTGTGTAATTGAATGAGAGACTCTTGGATGAATGATTGTTTGATTACTTATATTGAAAAAAGATATTTTTAATAATATTGATAATAAAGTGATTGTACAATGATTTCAAAGTATGAAGACTCAAAAAGAAAATTTGTAGGTATAATGCAGGTAAAATATGATGTGATTTTGATTGAAAGTTTTTTCTTATATAATTTATCTTTTTATATAACAATTCTAATAAAAAAATTTTAAAACCGTCAGTGCCATGCCGATCCTAAATTAAGTTAAAAAAAGATAGATCCTAAATTGAGAACTTCCCGTCCGACTCCGCACGGAATTTTTCAATCATCCATCAATCATACATCAATCACATCATCTCCTCATCCTTAACCCCATCAAACCCCTCATGCCCATGAACATACCTCTTATATGTCTCCCCATCCCCCCATACCGCATACGCATCCTCCCCATGTATGGCATCATCGCCCACCACCAATTCCTCCTCCCTTATCTTTAGCGCCACCACCATCCTAATCACCACAAATATCGCCGTCGTCACCACCACATTCCAAACACCAACAAACAACATCCCCACCACCTGCATTCCCATCTGCCTCAACCCGGCCCGAACCTGCCCATCCTTCAACCCGAAAATCAGCCCGATGAATTTCGGGTCATCCCCAAAAAATAACCTGGTCATCTTCGGGTCGGCCAGCAGGCCCGTCAACAGCCCGTCCAGCGCCCCCGCGACGCCGTGCGTGTGGAAAATGGTGAGTGTGTCGTCGATCTTTTTCAAAAAGCGACTGCGTTTGTGCAGAACCATCATGGTGAACCAAGGAATGCTGCCGGAGAAGACGCCGAAGGCCCGTCAATAGCCCGCCCAGTGCGCCCGCGATGCCGTGCGTGTGGAAAATGGCGAGCGTGTCGTCGATCTTTTTCAGAAAGCGAACGCGTTTGTGGAGAACCATCATAGTGAGCCAAGGAATGCTGCCAGAGAAGACGCCGATGAGAAGGGCGGAGCTGGACTGGACGAGGCCGGCGGCGGGGGTTATGGAGACGAGGCCGGTGATCATGCCCTGGACGGCGCCGATGACAGAGGGTTTGCCGAAGAAGGAGATGTCGAGGCAGAGCCAGATGAGGAGGCTGGTGGCGGTGCATATGTGGGTGTTTAGGATGGCGACGGAAGCGTCGATGTTGGCGGCGTACGGAGCGCCGCCGTTGAAACCGGTCCAGCCGAGCCAGAGCATGCCGGCGCCGGCGAGGGTTAGGAGGATGTTGTTCGGAGGGAAGCGCTCGCGGTCCTTGTGTATCCTTGGGCCCACCTGAGAAGGATATGAAATAAAATAAAACTTTGGAATTCATCTAAATTAATTTTTTAATATTTCTTGATTTTTTTAAATTTGAATGAATTTTTTATTCTTTCAATTTATAAGTAAAATATAATATAAATATTAATTGATTAATGATATATTATGTTTATCTCAAAGTAAATTTAATATATATAAAAAGAGCACATGGATTGCAAGTAAGATATAAATATATATATATATATATAATCTCAAAGTAAATTTAATAGATATAGAATTTTCTTCAATTTTAAAATATGGTTCAAACATTGATTTAGTATATTTTTCATGGAAGGCTGGGAATAGGTGATTCATGAAGGCAATGAGGAAAGTTCAATGGTGATTGTTGCTAATTCTAAAAGTTATGTTACAGTTTCTACATTTAATGATAATTTTAACTCGGGCCATTGTGGTGCTTGACACTGGACCGGAGAGGGCTCGACGAATCCACGTCGACGATCCAGTGGCGGTCGCCGGATAACTCCAAGAACTTCTCGGAGGAGAGGGATCACCACCTGAAATCCTTTAGGATACAGAAAACCCAAAAACAGTAAAATTACTCAAATATTATTCATATCTCAAAATCTATCTTATTACAAACATTGGCTATCTATTTATAGCCAAAAAAGAAGCATCATAATAGGCTACATACAAAATAAGAAAGCATTTCACTTCTATAGCCCTATAACTATCAAATGGACTTAATATAGCCTGAAGTTTAATACAATTAACGTCTCAGCTCTGGCGTCATACTTACCGGGGTAGGAAGAACTTCAGGCTCATAAGAGGATGCCCGGTTGTCCACATTAAGGAGGCGGATTTGATTGGCTAAACTGGTCAGGATAGTTCCACCCGATGTCAATTTGCCTACCAATTTTCAATCTCTCAAGAGAAGCATAAGCAGATGGAATACTTGTGATTGTGAAAGCATCTAGGACCAAAGGTGTTTCTTTCAGCCATCTAGAGGAGAAGAGAAGAGCTTCACAATCCAACCCATTGAGGAGATCTTCACATGCAATTTTTTTATCAACAATGGCAAGCGTAATTGATGTCTTGTTCGGAACATTGTGAATGAATAGTTCCGGTTGGACATTTGGCTCCGGCTGGCCATCCATTTTACCCTCGTCATCATCATATGCGGGCTGATCAATATCAAGAACTTCTACGGATATGTCATCGTCATACATGTCATACCTTGGCTCGTCGTAGAGAGGAAAAGATGACGATTTCAGCAACGAATCTTCAAACCCATCAAACATGGACTCGATTGAGGAGGCGGAAGACTTACGAGGTGACCCTTTAAAAATGTCTTCGTAGGGAGAAGGAAGTTGATTGAAAATATGTAGGCCAAATTTGTTTTCTCCATCACCTCGGGATCCTTGTTCGGCCCTAGCAGAAACTCGCCTTCTTATATCCTCCTCTTTCGAAAAATCTTGGTAAAATACATTAACATCTTCTTGATGATCCACTGTTTCTTGGTGTTCAATTCCTATTCGTCTTTGAGGTAGCCGTTTAATTCGGGCATGAGATGATTTCTTGTGCCTGACTTCCACCCAAGAACAAGGATTGATATCGTTCTTTGTTGTTGGAATGGCTTGGACAACACCAAGAAGGGTTGAGGCGTTGTGGTGGAAGACTCTTGCTTGGGGAAATCATTCTTAACGTCGTTGATTGGTCGGTTTGATCGTGCAGGGGCACAGTCGGTAAATACTACATGCAGGAAGGGATGCGGGCAACTGGGTCGCACGCGAAGATGAAGCGGGCTGAAGGCGGGGTGTGCGGGATGTGGACGCTCGCCAGTTGCTTGTGTAGGCGAACCGACTCGGGGTACCCCAAGTGCGGGACATGCAGGACTCACGGAAAGCAGGTTCAGAGCATCGGAATTGCAGAACTGGGCGGTCTGGCTCACAAAAATGGGATGTCGGATGCGTGTGGGGGCGAGGTTTCTCGAATCACCATTTCCCATGGCCTTCCTTTGCTCGAATTTTGCGAGACGTTGTTGTAGTAGCGCGACCTCCAGCTGTATATCTTCAAGCACTTCTTGAATTGGTTGTTGGGGTTTTTGTCGAGGCGGTATCTTGTCGGCTCTGATACCAAATGACACCGGACCGGAGAGGGCTCGACGAATCCACGTCGACGATCCAGTGGCGATCGCCGGATAACTCCAAGAACTTCTCGGAGGAGAGGGATCACCACCTGAAATCCTTCAGGATACAGAAAACCCAAAAAGAGTAAAATTACTCAAATATTATTCATATCTCAAAATCTATCTTATTACAAACATTGGCTACCTATTTATAGCCAAAAAAGAAGCATCATAATAGGCTACATACAAAATAAGAAAGCATTTCACTTCTATAGCCCTATAACTATCAAATGGACTTAATATAGCCTGAAGTTTAATACCATTAACGTCTCAGCTCCGGCGTCAGTGCTAATTATTCAAGTAGGCTGTTGTGTAATCATTGGCATCCTCTTCCACTAGATTGGATCAAAGTTAATGTTGATGCTTCATTATTACTGTCATATAAAGTTGGAAATAGTGGTGACTTTAGTCATAATAAAGGTAGATTTTCTTCTGGCTAACTTTTGATTCAAGGCTTCAGTACATCCCTAGCCAACACTCACATTAGGATTCTACTACATCATGCAATAATCACAAAAACTTCAAACAAAAAAATCCTACTCCATCATATGAAGTTCAAACAAAAATTTCAAGTTAATGCAACTTAATGTACTCTCCTACACTTAACAAGTACGGCCCCCCTCAACTCTTTAATTAAGAGAAAATTTTCAAGAACTAAGTTTTACAGAGCGTTGAAAGTGAATAAAAACCTCACCTTCTAATTTGCTTATAATCTATCTCAAATTCTAGATTGATGTATACAATGATGACAATTGCTCACAAGATTAAATAGAATGCGTAAACAATTAAGCTTACATATCACAAAGTATCCTAATAATTGAGTTGAGATAAAGATACTACTAATAGATTTTACACCTCAACGAAAATATTAAATGATTATATAGTTGTGTCCTTGATGGTGTACTAGTTTACTTCTAAATGAAATCTAGTAAAATTAATTTTTGAAGACATGTTACACTAGTAGATTTTGGGAAAATTAAATTGACATTTACGAAAAAAATATCATGCTGCTAATAGATTTTACGACTAGGAACCATTCATGCAATGTCTTCATCTAATTCATAGAGAAAAATATCATTGAAACCAAGTGACTATATTAAAAGATAGATTCCCAAATGATTAGTTATTGATGGAAGCTTTGTTAATAATAAAATTGATAGCATCTTGATCTACTACTGCCTATATATGTAGATTAGAAGTCAATAGAGATCCCTATGAAACTTGAGGTGAAGCCGTAAAGTTAAAAGGTCATTTAGAGTCAAATAATGCAAGATATATTGAACTGAAGATACCGAGAGAAAAATTCAAATGATAATGCTTCAAACAATCAGCTGTTTTCATGGTAATGAGGTTGTTGTGCTTCAGGATGTTTGCAGGAAGGTGGCTAATCAACCACTGGGGACATCATCTGAGTCTGAAATCAATGAGATGGGATGTCTGTTTTCTCATTTGCTAGATGGTTGCTTATCTCTCCCAATTAACTTGTTGGATTTTCCTATCACGCTACTGTGAAGGTAAGGGAAGGCATCATTGCCAAAATCAAGAATAAAATAATTGATGGGATGGTGCAAGGTGGATCTGTAGAAAGAAGCAGAGTTCTTGATAGGCTGGTGGAGGAAGAGAACTTGACATATATTCAAATAGCTGATTTCATCATAAGCCTGCTTTTTACTGGAAATGAAACTATAACTAAAACAATTATGTTTGCTGTTTACTTCCTCACTCAATGTCCTCAGGCATTAGTGAAGCTCCTGATTGAGCATAAGAGCATCAGAAGGAGCCACAATGAGATTCTTGAATGGGATGGCTACAAAGCAATGCCTTAAGTCAATGCGTTATTGATGAAACCCTTAGACTTGGGGAATATAAAAACTTTACTATCCCACAAGGATACCTTGCAGTACCATTTCTATTAGCTATTCACTTGGATGAAGGAATATACCCTGGAGCTTTACCATTCAATCCATGGAGAAGGTTGGTTGAAGAGAAGAAAAGAAATTGGAGAACTAGCCCATATTTTTCACCTTTTGGAGGAGCAGCTAGATATTGCCCTGAGGCTGAAATTTTACTTTTTCTGATTGATCTTATACTACAATTTCTAGGAAAGCATGTTGAAAATCTAGCATGTGCATAAGCCCAAAGGAAGGCTTTACTTTCAGTGACTTTGCTTCTAGCTTGTACTAATCCAAACGAGCTTGTAGACATGCATCGAAAATCTTTGATCCGGAGGGTTGCTAAAGTTTTCTATGCCTACCTCCCTCCCGATGACGTACCTCGATGGAGTCGAGCTCTTCTGACGCAAGGAGAATATGATGCGGAACATCTTAGTTAAAGTATTTCTTAAAAATAGTAGATATAATTTGTCACATTTTTTTCTAGAATATTTTGTTTATGTTGGATAATTAATATTATTATATTTTGAAACCTTTAAATTTATATTGATTTCCTATCATTCCAACAGACTCATTTCTTCTACATCAGTAACGCACATAAATATGAAATAATAATCCTCCTAAAAAAATCGGTTGAAATGTCAATAAGCGCATCCGCAATGATGATAACAATTGTCTCTTGCCATTGTTCAAAAATCACAGGAGTTCTTGCCTCTCAGCCTCCTACAAAAATGCTCCGCCCTCCGAGATACGAGCTTACCACCTCATAAAAAGAGAATTTGACTTTCATTTAATAACAAAATCATTTCTTGTCTTAATATCTTGAATTTCAAACTCCTCTCCATTTCTTCAATAATCCCAACTAGTAATGTTGATTGCCCCTAGCTTGAATTTTTAGGACAAAAAGGATGGCAGAATGGTATCATTGCTCTCGTGTATTTTATCTTGCAAAATAAAAGCAATAGTCTCTATCTTTGAAGATTTTGTGTAGTTAAACTCACCAAAAGACTGGTGAATTAAATGTAATATTGGCTATAAGCTTCTTTCGAAATTCATGAATTCAAATCTCATACAATGAATGTATGCTGATATTTGGACAGTTTAACCACAAAAATTATATATGCTTATGTTAGATATTATTGCTGGCAAGAATATACGCTGCGATATAGTTAGAAATTTTCATCTTAGTGTTGTACGGATTAAAGAGCAGCTTCATCCACTTTCCTTAGGACCAGGTTTCCTGGTTGGAAGGCTTTCTCTTTGACGTGAAGGTTATAGTACTTGGCAGTTCTTCATTTTATTTCCTCTTGTTGAAGGGCGGCTTGTACTCGAAGTTCTTCTCATAAGTTGACATCTATTGATCTGTAAGCCTCCTTGATTAGACTCTTCTCATTCGCTAAGTTCGGTGGTCGTATTTGGGGTTGTGGACTAGTACCCTTTGGCTTGATGACACATTTCAAAGTCATCCGGTATTTTATTTAGACAATTACAACATCAAAAGCATCACACCAAAAACCATATAAAGTTCACTTTCAAGGCAAACTATAACCTGCAATCAATGATGCAAACACAGCGAAAGAATCAGTATGAGTAAGAGATTGTTCATAACATCAAAACAATAAAAAGCTAATTCACCTCCACATTTGTATCCAACCGGTCTGTTGGCAATTTTACAACGCTTGGGTATTGTCACAGCGACACCCGGATTCACACCAGCACTCTTTGCAGTATTTGAGAGCATGACGGCACACAGACACTTGGGGTTCTGATCTATCTTTTGAATCGCCGAGCAGCATGATGCTGAAACTGCAGCATTCACATCCTGTGAAGCCGAAGCACATGGAGCCATTTGAAAGGCCATTATATCTGCAGAAATACTCCCACATTCTCCAGCTCCATTGACCCTTTCAAAACCTGCACAGCTAAAAAAAAGTAGAGCAAGACTAACAAAGCACTTCACCTTGGCTTCCATTCTTATGATGAGCTTAGCATTTAGTCCTATGTGGGTTTTTATATAGAAGAAAGATATCTGCAATGGTGGAAGGACACCTCGTAGCCCACTTAGTCTTGATGGATGAAGCACTAGCTACACTACAGCTTGTTTATTGCAGCACTTGCTAACTTTCGGGACACAATGGATGAAGCATTATTGCCTGCTTCAATTTTAAATAAGTGGGCTGCTATATCTATGCAGATCTATAGATTGATAAGAAGAACAATATTTGGTACCATTTGATTGCCCACGATATTTTTCATCAACCAAGATGAAAGGAGAAATTAAAAACAGTTAATAAAATATTTTATATCTTTCAAATATCAATCCTTTTGCATCCATGATTGTATATATTTCACCGTTGATTGGGTTCTTATTTAGAGATTTTATATAGTTCAAATATCAAAGATTCATAAAACTGTTCCGTCACTTATGATACTTTAATACGGGTTCTAAGAAAGATGTATATCGCTAGGGATCTAAATCTAGAATCAGGTGCTAGAATTCAAAATCATAATTCCTCATAACTCTTTAATGCCCGTCTTCAGTAATAGAATTCAACTCTACCCAATCCCTTGCAACACTTCGGAGAGTTTATTATATTGCTAAAATACGAAAAAAAACTCTAAACATATTTTATGGAATATTTTTTTTTTATGTTGGATAATTAATATTATTATGTTTTGAAACCTTCAAATTTATATTGATTTCTTATCAAAGCCTTATATGGGATCCTGGTTGGGTACCCATTGGGTACTCATGCTTTACTTGGATGAGCTTTGGCCACCCACACCCACCCATGGTGACTTTCGGGATGCCATACCCACCTATACCCACCCACCTTCCATATTTTTTGAACGTAGTCTGCCACAGATTGATGGCCTTGAGGCTTGCTGCCCTTTGCTCTGATTGTAAACTTTCAAAATGCATATCATAATTTATCGTAGTCGCAACATGGTTAAGTGTTGCACACTATGTAGTGATGATTGCAATAATATAAGATATACGATGATTAGTAATATAAATCGATTTATCCTCTGATGTTGAGTACCCACCGATAAGGCCATGGGCGTACCCATAACCACCCATACCCAATGGGTATGGGTGGTTGAGGGTATGGGTACCCAATGCAGGGCTCTGTTTCTTATCCTTCTAGCAGACTCATTTCTTCTTCTACATCAGTAATGCACATAAATATGAAATAATAAACCTCCAAAAAAAAAAAATCGGTTGAAATGTCAGTAAGCGCAGCCACAATGATGATAACAACTGTGTCTCTTGCCATTGTTCAAAAATCATAGGAGTCCTTGCCTCTCAGCCTCCTACCAAAATGCTCCTCCCTCCGAGAAATCCAACAGCTCCACGCCTTCGCCATCAAGTCCCGCCTTCACTGGGGCAACTCCTTCCTCTCCAAGCTCATCGACGCCTCGACCCTCAATCCGCCGCCTCTGTCCATGTACCACGCCCACAAGTTGTTCGACCAAATTTTTCATAGGGATGTTGTACTATTCAACACACTTAGCCGCGATTACTCACGTTCGCATGAATCGCACCAAGCCACTGTCCTCTTTTGCCATATGCTTAAGGCTTCCATCGCCCCTGATGCCTACTCCTTCCCCTCCCTGCTCAAGGCATGTGCATCCGCCCACGCCCTCTGTGAGTGGAAGCAGGCACATGCGGCCACCATCATATGCGGCTTCGCTTCTAACGCCTTCGTGCTCCCCGCCCTCATTAACATGTACTCCCAATGCGGCGACATCAAAGCCGCCCACACCATCTTTGACCATGGGACCGACCTGTGCATCGTCTCTTACAATTCCATGATCACAGCCTGCGTGCAGAGCAGTCGACCAAGCGAGGCATTGCCGTTGTTCCGAGAGATGCAGTCTAGGCTGCTCCGTCCTACCAACATCTTGTGCTTGGCATTCTCGCCGCCTGTACTTTGATAGGGGCGCTTTACCTTGGAAAGTGGATACATGAGTATGTGAAGAAGAACAGCTTATCATCCTATGTTAAGGTGAACACAACACTCATCGACATGTACAGAAAGTGAGGTAGCTTGGAAGATGCTATCGGAGTGTTCAACAGGATGGAGTTTTGAGATACTCAGGCATGGTCGGCCATGATAGTGACTTATGCGATTCATGGACAAGGTATTTTGATACTCAAGCTGTTCGACGAAATGCTCCAGAAGGGAGTTAGACCGGACATCATAACCTTTTTGGGAATCCTATACTCTTGTAGCCACTCGGGCATGGTTGAGCAAGGCCTTGGATATTTCCGCATTATGTATAGTGATTATGGAATCTGTTCGGGAATCAAGCATTATGGTTGCATTGTTGATTTGCTGGCTCGAATGGGGAAACTGGAAGAGGCTTATGATTTTATCAATGGTTTGTCGATCGAGCCAAAGCTGATTCTGTGGAGGACTTTTCTGTCAGCCTACGCAGGGCATGGGAATGTTGACCTCAGTAAAAAAGTGTTCGACAAAATCATTGAATTGGATGGTTCACACGGCGGTGACTATGTGAAATTATCAAACATGTGCGCATTGAATCGAATGTGGGAGGATGTGAACGAGATTAGAAGTTGATGGGTGGGAGAGGGGTGGTGAAGGTTCCAGGATGCAGCTCCATTGATGTTGACAGCAAGGTGCATGAGTTCTTCGCCAGTGATGGGAAACATCCAGATTCTAAGAAGGTCCATAGGATGGTGGATGAGGTTATGGAGCAACTCAAGGTGGTTGGTTATATCCATGATACTTGTAAGGTGCATCATGTGGATCTCACGGAGGAGGAAAAGGAAGTGAGCCTTAGATATCACAGCGAGAAGCTAGCGATCGCATTTGGGCTCTTAAACACGCCGCCAGGTTCAACTATTCGGGTAGTGAAGAATCTCAGAATCTGCAGTAATTGTCACTCAATGGCGAAGCTGGTTTCCATGGTGTTTAGGAGGTAGATAATCCTTTGGGATCTCAATCCGTTCCATCATTTTGCAGTTGGACAATGCTCTTGTGCTGACTATTGGTAGAAAGAAGCACATGGCTTGCAAATTCAATGATGTTATGATGATGGTCAATGGAGACCAATTATAATAATTCATGGAGATACGAGGTTACCACCTCTTAAAAAGTCAATATGACTTTCATGTAATAACAAAATCATTCCTTATCTCAATATCTTGAAATTCAAACTCTCCATTTCTTCAATAATCCCAACTAGTAAATGTTGATTGCCCCTAGCTTGAGTTTTTAGGACAAAAAGGATGGCAGAATGGTATCATTGCTCTCGTGTATTTTATCTTGCATAATAAAAGGCAATAGTCCCCTCATTAACATGTACTCCCAATGCGGCGACATCAAAGTCGCCCGCACCATCTTTGACCATGGGACCGACCTGTGCATCGTCTCTTACAATTCCATGATCACAGCCTGCGTGCAGAGCAGTCGACCAAGCGAGGCATTGGCGTTGTTCCGAGAGATGCAGTATAGGCGGCTCCGTCCTACCAACATCTTGATGCTTGGCATTCTCACTGCCTGCACTTTGATAGGGGCGCTTCACCGTGGAAAGTGGATACATGAGTATGTGAAGAAGAACGGCTTATCATCCTATGTTAAGGTGAACACAACACTCATCGACATGTATGGAAAGTGAGGTAGCTTGGAAGATGCTATCAGAGTGTTCAACGGGATGGAATTTTGAGATACTCAGGCATGGTCGGCCATGATAGTGACTTATGCGATTCATGGATAGGGTATTTTGGCACACAAGCTGTTCGACGAAATGCTCCAGAAGGGAGATAGACCGGACAGCATAACCTTTTTGGGAATCCTATACTCTTGCAGCCACTCGGGCATGGTTGAGCAAGGCCTTGGATATTTCCGCATTATGTACAGTGATTACGGAATCCGTCCGGGAAACAAGCATTATGGTTGCATCGTTGATTTGCTGGCTCGAACGGGGAAGTTGGAAGAGGCTTATGATTTTATCAATGGTTTGTCGATCGAGCCAACGCTGATTCTGTGGAGGACTTTGCTGTCAGCCTGCGCAGGGCATGGGAATGTTGACCTCAGTAAAAAAGTGTTCGACATAATCATTGAATTGGATGATTCACACGGCGGTGACTATGTGATCTTATCAAACATGTGCGCATTGAATCGAATGTGGGAGGATGTGAACGAGATTAGAAGTTGATGGGTGGGAGAGGGGTGGTGAAGGTTCCAGGATGCAGCTCCATTGAGGTTGATAGCAAGGTGCACGAGTTCTTCGCCAGTGATGGGAAGCATCCAGATTCTAAGAAGGTTCATAGGATGGTGGATGAGATTATGGAGCAACTCAAGGTGGTTGGTTATATCCCTGATACTTGTAAGGTGCATCATGTGGATCTCACGGAGGAGGAAAAGGAAGTGAGCCTTAGATATCACAGCGAGATGCTAGCGATCGCATTTGGGCTCTTAAAAACGCCGCCAGGTTCAACTATTCGGGTAGTGAAGAATCTCAGAATCTGCAGTGATTGTCACTCAATGGCGAAGCTGGTTTCCATGATGTTTAGGAGGTAGATAATCCTTTGGGATCTCAATCCGTTCCATCATTTTGCAGTTGGACAATGCTCTTGTGCTGACTATTGGTAGAAAGAAGCACATGGCTTGCAAATTCAATGATGTTATGATGATGGTCAATGGAGACCAATTATAATAATTCATGGAGATACGAGGTTACCACCTCTTAAAAAGTCAATATGACTTTCATGTAATAACAAAATCATTCCTTATCTCAATATCTTGAAATTCAAACTCTCCATTTCTTCAATAATCCCAACTAGTAATGTTGATTGCCAATTTTTAGGACAAAAAGGATGGCAGAATGGTATCATTGCTCTCGTGTATTTTATCTTGCATAATAAAAGGCAATAGTCTCCATCTTTGAAGATTTTGTGTAGTTAAACTCACCAAAAGACAGGTGAATTAAATGTAATATTGACTATAAGCTTCTTTCAAAATTCACGAATTCAAATCTCATACAATGAATGTCTTCTGAGATTTGGACAGTTTAACCACAAAAATTATATATTCTTATGTTAGATATTATTGCGGACAAGAATATGTGCTGGATATAGTTAGAAATTTTCGTCTTAACGTTGTACGGATATCTAGCACACAAACAGAAGAAAAAGAAACTCTAGAATTTTATGTGGAAAATTCTAGAAAAGGGAAAAATCACGGGGTCATGCCCAGTTGAAATGATTATACTAGTATTTGATTGTATTACAAGTGATTGGCTCGTTCCTAAAATAGAAAACAATCATATTACAATAATCAATCGTCGGGTTGGGTGGTCGGACGAAAATACGGCTTAAATTGACGGTCGTGCAGAAATCCGGTGTTAGTCGGTTGTCGTGCAGAAGTCCGACATCAATCGACGGTAGGGCAGAACTTCGACATTGGGCAGAAATCCAGCGTCAGTTGGTGGTCGGGTAGAAGTTCGACGATGGCCGAGGTGTTTGTTGGCAAGAGAACTCAAGTTTCTCTTCTTCCATTTCTTTCTTCTCTTCATCTCTTTTTGCTTGGGGTCTCCTCTCAAAAAAAATGAGGGGTCTATTTATAATTTTCTGATAGTGGCATAGCTAGTAAATAGGAGGAAGATCAAGGATAAATTGGGAGTGGTTTGAATGGATGTCCGATGTTAATTCCTTTGATCATGGATTGTTTACTAGATATTTGAATGTCTTAATGATATCAAAATTTGGAGATCTTGGGCTTGGATTTGTCACATCGAGTCGCTCGATTCGACTATAAGCATGTCACGTTTGGTAATCTAAGTTATGGTTTGAACCTTCCAAATGCACTTCGGGTCTTTGATTTGGACTCATTTGGGCTTGGATTGAGTCGAAGTTGGTATCGTTAGGTGCATATTTCATGGACGTTCAGTTTGAGTATAAATTTGCTGAAAGTAGAGTTCATATAGTCCAAGATTTAATTTTTGAAATTTCCAACTTGATTTTGCTTTGAGATTCGTGCCCTATTAAGATAAATTTTCGATGATATATCAGATATATATAATGAAAACAAAACCCCAAAAAATATTGTTTAGGTGTAGATTCATATGATTAAACATTAATGAATAAATAATTTAATTATTAGGCTTAATAAAATGATTTCATGAGCGGCTATTAAATTTCCAAAAAAATTTATATTTCCTACTGCTTTTCTCTGCTCCGCTCGACTCCTATTTCCTCCCGGCCTTCGCGATTCGTCTGCTCCGCTCGACTTCCTGCTTTCTCCCTTCTCCACTGCCATAAGCCGCCCGACGTTTTCGTGTCCGCCTCAAAAATTAGAAAAATTTACCAACATCCTGCACTCTTTCTTCCACCTTGCTTTTTTTTTATTTTTTTTTTTAATTTTAATACTATAGAGTTCGGCTAGGCCTATACCTCTTCCACGCAACCTCTTCCACCCAATCGATCCTTGAAGACAACCTACTAGGAACTTGCGGTGCTCGACGCCTCCACCAATCGACCTCGCCGTCTCCAGCAAACTGCAGAACGCCTTGCCATACACGCCAGTAGATCTCGCAGGTGTGTAATTTTGAATGTACTTTTTTTAAAAAGTTTCATGTCAAGTTTTTGTATTTTTAATGATTTATAGGGTTTTTGATAGTTTCAATATTTTTCAAACGGTTTAAAATTGGAAAGAACAAAAAAATTCAGCAGATTCAAATTTACATCAGCCGAAAATGTTGAGTTCAGGTGTTTTTGTATTGATTTTTTTATGTTGGATAATGAATATTATTATATTTTGAAACCTTCACATTTATATTAATTTCCTATCCTTCCAGCAGACTCATTTCTTCTACATCCTCCCAGAAAAAATCTGCTGAAATGTCGGCAAGCGCAGCCGCAATGATGATAACAACTGTGTCTCCTGCCATTGTTCAAAAATCACAGGAGTCCTTGCCTCTCAGCCTCCTACCAAAATGCTCCTCCCTCCGAGAAATCCAACAGCTACACGCCTTCGCCATCAAGTCCCGCCTTAATTGGGGCAACTCCTTCCTCTCCAAGCTCATCAACGCCTTGACCCTCAATTCGGCGCCTCCGTCCATGTACCACGCCCACAAGCTGTTCGACCAAATTTTCCATAGGGACGTTGTACTATTCAACACACTTAGCCGGGGTTACTCACGTTCGCATGAACCGCACCAAGCCATTGTCCTCTTTTGCCAGATGCTTGAGGCTTCCATCGCCCCTGATGCATACTCCTTCCCCTCCCTGCTCAAGGCCTGTGCATCCGCCCACGCCCTCTGTGAGGGGAAGCAGGCGCATGCGACTGCCATCAAATGCGGCTTTGCTTCTAACACCTTCGTGCTCCCCACCCTCATTAACATGTACTCCCAATGCGGCGACATCAAAGCCGCCCGCACCATCTTCGACCATGGGACCGACCTGTGCGTCATCTCTTACAATTCCATGATCACAGCCTGCGTGCAGAGCAGTCGACCAAGCGAGGCATTGGCGTTGTTCCGAGAGATGCAGTCCAGGCGGCTCTGTCCTACCAATGTCACGATACTCGGAGTTCTTGCCGCCTGCGCTTTGATAGGGGCGCTTTATCTTGGAAAGTGGATCCATGAGTATGTGAAGAAGAACGGCTTCTCATCCTATATTAAGGTGAACACAGCACTCATCGACATGTATGGAAAGTGCGGTAGCTTGGAAGATGCTATCGGAGTGTTCAACGAGATGGAGTTTCGAGATACCCAGGCATGGTCGGCCATGATAGTGACTTACGCGATTCATGGACAGGGTATTTTGGCACTCAAGCTGTTCGACGAAATGCTCCAAAAGGGAGTTAGACCGGACAGCATAACCTTTTTGGGAATCCTATACTCTTGCAGCCACTCGGGCATGGTTAAGCAAGGCCTTGGATATTTCCGCATTATGTACAGTGATTACGGAATCCTTCCGGGAATCAAGCATTATGGTTGCATCGTTGATTTGTTGGCTCGAACGGGGAAGCTGGAAGAGGCTTATGATTTTATCAATGGTTTGTCGATCGAGCCAACGCTGATTCTGTGGAGGACTTTGCTGTCAGCCTGTGCAGGGCATGGGAATGTTGACCTCGGTAAAAAAGTGTTCGACAGAATCATTGAATTGGATGATTCACATGGCGGTGACTATGTGATCTTATCAAACATGTGCGCATTGAATAGAATGTGGGAGGATGTGAACGAGATTAGGAAGTTGATGGGTGGGAGAGGGGTGGTGAAGGTGCCAGGATGCAGCTCCATTGAGGTTGACAGCAAGGTGCACGAGTTCTTCGCCAGTGATGGGAAACATCCAGATTCTAAGAAGGTCCATAGGATGGTGGATGAAGTTATGGAGCAACTCAAGGTGGTTGGTTATGTCCCTGATACTTGTAAGGTGCATCATGTGGATCTCACGGAGGAAGAAAAGGAAGTGAGCCTTAGATATCACAGCGAGAAGCTAGCGATCGCATTTGGGCTCTTAAACACGCCGCCAGGATCAACTATTCGGGTAGTGAAGAATCTCAGAATCTGCAGTGATTGTCACTCAATGGCGAAGCTGGTATCCATGGTGTTTGGAAGGCAGATAATCCTTCGGGATCTCAATAGGTTCCATCATTTTGCCGTTGGACAATGCTCTTGTGCTGACTACTGGTAGAAAGAAGCACAATCTTGACTCTTTCCCCCACCTTGCTTTTTTTTATTTTTATTTTAATACTATAGAGTTCGGCTAGGCCTATACCTCTTCCTCCACCCAATCGATCCTTGAAAACAATCTACTAGGAACTTGCGGTGCTCAACGCCTCCACCAATCGACCTCGCCGTCTCCAGCAAACTACAGAACGCCTTGCCATACACGCCAGTAGACCTCGCATGTGTGTAATTTCTGAGTGTACTTTTTTAAAAAGTTTCATGTCAAGTTTTTGTATTTTTAATGATTTATAGGGTTTTTGATAGTTTCAATATTTTTGAAACGGTTTAAAATTGGCAAGAACAAAAAATTTCAGCAGAATCAAGTCACCGAACACAGCTACTAACACAATTTTTCATATGTAAATAGGGGTGATGTAGAAATTGATTATGTTAACAAGAGAGCTTTAAATAATATAAATATTTGAATATTTGATATAAATTTTACTCTAAATTTGAATAATTCCTCACGAAAAATTAATAAATTCAAGCAATATATAAAAACAAATAAGTGTAGAAAAGATATTGAAAACTATGCACAAAGATCTTGTACACAAATTTGTCTGGATGATAAGTGAGCTTATTAGTAGGCAACCTCTAAGAAACCCGACCAGAAACTCGACCTAAATCAGACCCAAAAAATTTCAGGTTTGGGTCAACCTGTTTGTCTGACGGGTCGGGTTCAGGTTGACACGAAAACTCGAAATCAACTTGAGCTTGACCTGCGAGCCACCGATTTGCACGTACCAGTCGGTCTCGAGTCCAGTCCGGCTTGTCGCACCCATCCCATCGCATTGTGTCGGGTATCCTATTGTCCTGCCTCGACCTTGCGTCCCACACGTTCGGTCCGGCCTCGGTCTTGCGTCTCGCACTCGCCTCCTTGTGTCATCTGCAATAGTGAAGCATGCACTCGTGGCTCGACCAATCAACCCACATCCTGCGCAGCCGCACTGGCCTCTCCTGCAGCGCTTCCGAACTCAGTTGCCCATCCCTCCCGTGTCATGCCCTCGCGTCTGTGTTGAAACTTGTTCAATATGAATTAGGTTGTTAAACCTAAGCTTATGTCCCAGCGACTAACCAAGAGGGGGGTGAATTGGTAATTAAAAATTTTTACCCTCTTTTAAAATTTTATACCGAAAATTTACTTTAATGAATTTTGTAGAAAAAGATTTTTCAACCACAAGTTAAACAGTAAAAACAAAAGATAGCGAAAAATAAAAAGACAATATTTATAGTGGTTCGGTCAAACACGACTTACGTCCACTCCCCGGAGGCACCCTCCAAGTATTGCACTAATACCACTAGTGACTCTCCTTTTGCACCCACAGCAAGGAAGAGAAGCCTTTACAAAACTCTCTTCCACCACTACCCGGTGCGGCAGAGAACCGTCGTCCTTTTACACTTTTCCCAGTGTTGGCAGAGAATCATCCGTCCTTTCACACTCTCCCAGTGTAGGCAGAGAACCATTCGTCCTTTCACACTCTTCAAGTGTGGGTAGAAAACCCTACGTCCTTTCACACTCTCCAAGTGTGGGCAGAGAACCAAATCTTTTTGACAGATCTTTTCATAAGAAATCTAGAAGGAAGAGAGAAAAGAGTGAAATAATAAAAAACCACAAGTAGAGATTTTTACTTTTGAGTACCAAATAAATCTTTCACGTTCCAGTAGTAAGAATCCTCCTTCAAACACTCTCTCACACTCACTTCTTGAGTCTCCCTTCAATTGGCACGAAGATCAATAGGCAAAATGATTAAGAGGCAATTCTAATTGGACTTTATATAGGAAAGACGCAAAAAATCGTCCAAAAATTGCTGATTTTCAAGTCTGTACATAGTGGATCCTCCCGTACGATCGTGGATCGTCCTAGACGAACTTACTTAAATCAGTTGCATATGAACCCAATGTATATTGGTACGAACAGACTTCATACCCGATTATCTTCCCGTACGAACTAAGTTCGTCCGGTATGAACAGTTATACCATGGGTCGGTTTCGACAAACTGCTGGAAGTTATCAAAATTAGAAAAGATAGAGCATTTTAGTCTAGGGACGAATAAGAGTTTGTCTGGACGAAATTTTTATAGAGAGCATTTCGTCCTGGGCCGAATAGGAGCTCGTCTGAACGAAAATTTTCCAGAGAACATTTCGTCCTGGGACGAATTAGAGTTCATCTGGATGAAATTTTTATAGAGAGCATTTCATCTTGGGCCGAATATAGGATTTCGTCTGAACGAAAATTTTTCAGAGAGCATTTCGTCCTTGGACGAATTGGAGTTTGTCTGGATGAAATTTTTACAGAAAGCATTTCGTCCTTGCACGAACAGAATTTCGTCTGAACGAAAATTTTCTTGAGAACATTTTGTCCTGGGATGAATAGAAAAATTCATCTGGACGATCAGGACTTAGAAAAATTTTCTCACTCACTCTTCGTTCCATTGCTCTTCCGAGGGAATAATTGACTTGATCGTCCCGTACGAATATAGTTCATCCAGTACGATCAGTATGAATTTTAAAGATTTCCCCAAGTGTGTGTGTGCTAAGTTACTTAATTACAATCACTCTTCAAACTCAATACAATGAAAAGTACAAGCTTCAATTTACAAATTATCTCATGCTGAATTTTCATTTGAAGTCTTCATTAGTCTGGAGTTCGATTTTCTTGAAATGTTAGTCCACACAAGAGCAAAAATAATTCTTCTAAAAAGTGTTAGGAGAAAATAAAACTTTAAAACAATAATATTTGGAATCATCAAAACTTTACAAGTTGCAATAATGTAAAATGTGCAAATAGCAACTCTCTTAACAATCTTCCTCTTTTTGAAGATGGCAAAACAATTATTGTTTGTATAAATTTCAAATTGTAAGAATCTCCTAAACTCCCCATGAATTGATGAACATATGAAAGTTAGGAGGCATTGCTTAACAATTTTATCTTTTATCTCATTTTTTTTTATACAAACAGATACAATACGAAGATTAAAAAATAATAATACTTACGATACGAAACAAGCACACAGATACGATACAGAGCATGAGTTTCTTATTCCTTTGGGAAAGAATGATAGGCTATTTTTATTTTTTTTTATGGAAGTAACGGAATTGCAGGTCACATTTCTTCTACTTCGTCCAGAGCATGAGTTTCTTATTCCTCTTTACAATGCTGGCAACACAACTTATATTTTTCCTCATAATCGGTACGGCGTTCATCTCCAATGTGCTCTTTTTCAGATCTGTGCTTTCTCCTTGTTGAGAAATTTGTTTTGTTTGTTGTTTGTTTGTTTGTTTTTTTAGAGAGGGCTATGATGAGTCATATGCCCCTAGGGGTTCTCCTTGATGGCATCTCTTATGTGGTGTTTTTTTACATGCTTGAATTAGGCCTTAATGCGCTGTTTTGCAACAAGCAGGATTTAATTCTGGCTTCGGTTGGGGTGGCTTTCTTAATGTTTTCTAAAGAAGTTTAGGGTTTAGGAATCTTGGTGTGTATTGTATTTACAACTTCCTGAGAACCTAGATTGCATGCCTTCTTACCTTCCTAGCCTCGCTTCTCTCCAAAAACTTTACATTTATAGGGTTTCTCAGCTTTATTTCCAATGCTCTTCTCAAAGATTTGAGACAACTGAATTTATTACTGGCCTTTCCACCATGCATTACTTTATAGTTACTGAATTCTGCCAAGCTTAATCTTGATGGATGAAGCACTAGCTACACTACAGCTTGTTTATTGCAGCACTTGCTAACTTTCGGGACAAAATGGATGAAGCATTATTGTCTGCTTCAATTTTAAATAAATGGGCTGCTATATCTATGCAGATATATAGATTGATAAGAAGAACAATATTTGGTACCATTTGATTGCCCATGATATTTTTCATCAACCAAGATGAAAGGAGAAATTAAAAACAGTTAATAAAATATTTTATATCTTTCAAACATCAATCCTTTTGTATCCATGATTGTATATATTTCACCGTTGATTGGGTTCTTATTTAGAGATTTTATATAGTTCAAATATCAATGGTTCATAAAATTGTTCCGTCACTTATGATACTTTAATACGGGCTCTAAGAAAGATGTATATCGCTAGGGATCAAAATTTAGAATCAGGTGCTAGAATTCAAAATCATAATTCCTCATAACTCTTTAATGCCCGTCTTCAGTAATAGAATTCAACTCTACTCAATCCCTTGCAACACTTCGGAGAGTTTAATATATTGCTATTGCGTCCAGGAGTATTAGCGGCGGTGGAGAAATATAAAGTTTATCATTTTAGCGTTGTACGAAAATGCGGCATGCAATCAGATAAGGAGAGAGGATCTAGCATTTATGAGACACCAAGATTTTTAGGTGGAAAACCCCTAAAAAGGGGGAAAAACCACGAGGCCTAGCCCAGTTCGAATGAATCCACTAGTATTTGCAGTCGATTACAAATGAGGTCCTTCCTTGGGAGAAGGCCTTAGCTTTATGTACTTCTTATAGAATACATTACATGATGTAAATATAAAGAGTCACTACTGATGTGTTTGCTTGGTCGGGAGGACCATTGGTAGGAGACTGGGGTCAGGAAGACCATTGTCTGGTGATGGATGTCAGAAAGATTGTAGCCTTCAGGAAGACCGTAGTCGGCTGGTGACGGAGGTCGAAAGGACTGTAGTCGGTGGGTGACGTAAGTCAGGAGGACTGTAGTCGGCAGGCAATGGAGGTCGGAAGGACTGTAGTCGGCGAGCAACGTAAGTCAGAAGAATCGTAGTCGGCGGGCGACGGAGGTCAGAAGGACCGTAGTCGGCGGGCAACGGAGGTCAGAAAGATTGTAGTCGGCGGGCGACGTAAGTCAGGAGGACCGTAGTCGGCTGGCAACGAAGGTCGGAAAGACTGTTGTCTGACGACGAAGGCCAGAAAGATGGCGTCAGGTAGAAGTTCAATGATGGAAAGAAATCCATCTTCGGATAGAGGTCCAGCGAAAGTTCGATAACTGGTAGAAGTCCGACGTCAGATAGAAACTTGGCGAAGAGTGAAGGTCAGAAGTCTGATGTCTGTTGGTGGCTGGGGAGAAGAACCCCGGCATCAGTTGGGATGATTTTAGGCATCAGGAGGGAACTTTGTCGTTACTTGGGAAGAATTTCAGCATTCCGTGGAAGTCGGGCAGAATTCTGGCGTCCCGTGGAAGTCGGGCAAAATTTCGGCGTCATTTGGAGTTCGAGTGGAACTCCGGCGGTGGTCGAGGAGGAGCTAATTATCCTTCTTCTTCTCTTCTTCTTCTCTTCTTCTTGCTTCTGTCCCCTCTTATGAGCAATAAGGGCTCTATTTATAGTTTTTCTGGAGTGGCATGGCCCGTAAATAGATGAGAGATCAGGGCCGAATCGGGAGTGGTTTGAATGGACGGCCGATATTGAATCTCTTGATCTTGGACCGTTCGTCAGACATTTGAAAATCTTAATGATGTCATAATTTGGCGATCTTGGGCTCGTTGGATTCGTCTCGTTGAGCCGCTCGATTTGACTATAAGCTTGTCAAAATCGAAGACCGTTTGGCAACTCAAATTGTGGTACGAGCTTTCCAACAGGGCTTTGGGTCTTCGATTCGGAACCATTTGGGCTCGGATTGAGTTGAATTTGATGTCGTTGGGTTCGTATTTCCGAGATGATCAGTTCGACTGTAAGTTTACTGAAATCGGAGTTCAGATGATCCCAGATTTAATTTTTGAAGTTTCCAAGTTGATTTTTGCGGCGAGATTTGTGCCCGGTCAAGATAATTTCATATGAATTGCTAAAATACGAAAAAAAAAAACTCTGTATATATTTTATGGAATATTTTTTTATGTTGGATAATGAATATTAGTATGTTTTGAAACCTTCAAATTTATATTGATTTCTTATCCTTCCAACAGACTCATTTCTTCTACATCAGTAACGCACATAAATATGAAATAATAATCCTCCAAAAAAAATCGGTTGAAATGTCAGTAAGCGCGGCCACAATGATGATAACAACTGTGTCTCCTGCCATTGTTCAAAAATCACAGGAGTCCTTAACTCTCAGCCTCCTACCAAAATGCTCCTCCCTCCGAGAAATCCAACAGCTCCACACCTTCGCCATCAACTCCCTCCTTCACTGGGGCAACTCCATCCTCTCAAAGCTCATCGACGCCTTGGCCCAAAATCTGGCGCCTCTGTCCATGTACCACGCCCACAAGTTGTTCGACTAAATTTTTCATAGGGATGTTGTACTATTCAACACATTTAGCCGTGGTTACTCACGTTCGCATGAACCGCACCAAGCCATTGTCCTCTTTTGCCAGATGCTTAAGGCTTCCATCGCTCCTGATGCCTACTCCTTCCCCTCCCTACTCAAGGCATGTGCATCCGCCCACACCTTCTGTGAGTGGAAGCAGGCACATGCGGCCGCCATCAAATGCAGTTTCGCTTCTAACGCCTTCATGCTCCCCACCCTCATTAACATGTACTCCCAATGTGGCGACGTCAAAGCCGTCCACACCATCTTTGACCATGGGACCGACCTGTGCGTCATCTCTTACAATTCCATGATCACAGCCTGCATGCAGAGCAGTCTACCAAGCGAGGCATTGGCGTTGTTCCGAGAGATGCAGTCCAGGCGGCTCCGTTCTGCCAACATCTTGGTGCTCGGCATTCTCGCCGCCTGCACTTTGATAGGGGCACGTTACCTTGGAAAGTGGATCCATGAGTATGTGAAGAAGAACGGCTTCTCATCCTATGTTAAGGTGAACACAGCACTCATCGACATGTACGGAAAGTGCGGTAGCTTGGAAGATGCTATCGGAGTGTTCAAGGGGATGGAGTTTCGAGATACCCAGGCATGGTCGGCCATGATTGTGACTTACGCGATTTATGGACAGGGTATTTTGGCACTCAAGCTGTTCGACGAAATGCTCCAGAAGGGAGTTAGACCGGACGACATAACCTTTCTGGGAATCCTATACTCTTGCAGCCACTCGGACATGGTTGAGCAAGGCCTTGTATATTTCTGCATTATGTACAATGATTACGGAATCCTTCCGTGAATCAAGCATTATGGTTGCATCGTTGATTTGCAGGCTCGAATGGGGAAGCTAGAAGAGGCTTATGATTTTATCAATGGTTTGTCGATCGAGCCAACGCTGATTCTGTGGAGGACTTTGCTGTCAGCCTGCGCAGGGCATGGGAATGTTGACCTCGATAAAAAAGTGTTCGGCAGAATCATTGAATTGGATGATTCACACGGCGGTGACTATGTGATCTTATCAAACATGTGCGCATTGAATCAAATGTGGGATGATGTGAAATTGTGAACGAGATTAGGAAGTTGATGGGTGAGAAAGGGGTGGTGAAGGTGCCAGGATACAGCTCCATTGAGGTTGACAGCAAGGTGCATGAGTTCTTCGCGAATGATGGGAAACATCCAGATTCTATGAAGGTCCATAGGATGGTGGATGAGGTTATGGAGCAACTCAAGGTGGTTGGTTATATCCCTGATACTTGTAATGTGCATCATGTGGATCTCACGGAGGAGGAAAAGGAAATGAGCCTTAGATATCACAGCGAGAAGCTAGCGATCGCATTTGGGTTCTTAAACACGCCGCCAGGATCAACTATTCGGGTTGTGAAGAATCTCAGAATCTGCAGTGATTGTCACTCAGTGGCGAAGCTGGTATCCATGGTGTTTAGGAGGTAGATGATCCTTCGGGATCTCAATAGGTTCCATCATTTTGCCGTTGGATAATGCTCTTGTGCTGACTATTGTTAGAAAGAAGCACATGGCTTGCAAATTCAATGCTGTTATGATGATGGTCAATGGAGACCAATTACACTAATTCATGGAGATACGAGGTTACCACCTCTTAAAAAGTGAATATGACTTTCATGTAATAACAAAATCATTCCTTGTCTCAATATCTTGAAATTCAAACTCCTCTCCATTTCTTCAATAATCCCAACTAGTAAATGTTGATTGCCCCTAGCTTGAGTTTTTAGGACAAAAAGGATGGCAGAATGGTATCATTGCTCTCGTGTATTTTATCTTGCAAAATAAAAGGCAATAGTCTCCATTTTTGAAGATTTTGTGTAGTTAAACTCACCAAAAAACGGGTGAATTATAAATGTAATATTGGCTATAAGCTTCTTTCAAAATTCACGAATTCAAATCTCATACAATGAATGTCTTCTAAGATTTGGACAGTTTAACCACAAAAATTATATATTCTTATGTTAGATATTATTGCGGACAAGAATATACACTGCAATATAGTTAGAAATTTTCGTCTTAGCGTTGTACGAATATCTAGCACACAAACAGAAGAAAAAAAGAAACACTAGAATTTTATGTGGAAAATTCTAGAAAAGAGAAAAATCACGGGGCTATGCCCAGTTGAAATGATTCTACTAGTGTTTGATTGTATTACAAGTGATTGGCTCGTTCCTAAAATTGAGGACGATCATATTACAATAATCAACCGTCGGGTTGAAATTCGGCGATGTTTGGTGGTCGAACGAAAAATACGGCTTAAATTGACGGTCGTGCATAAATCCGGCATTAGTTGGTTGTCGGGCAGAAGCCCAGCATCAATCGGCGGTAGGGCAGAACTTCGACGTTGGGCAGGGGCAGAAATTCGGCGTCAGTCGGTGGCTAGGTAGAAGTTCAACGATGGTCGAGGAGTTTGTTGGCAAGAGAACTCAGGTTTCTCTTCTTCCATTTCTTTCTTCTCTTCATCTCTTTTTGCTTCGGGTCCCCTTTCAAAAAAAAAGGATGGGTTTATTTATAATTTTCTGATAGTGGCATGGCCAGTAAATAGGAGAAAGATCAAGGATAAATTGGGAGTGGTTTGAATGGACGGCCGATGTTAATTCCTTTGATCACGTACTGTTTACTAGATATTTGAATGTCTTAATGATATCAGAATTTGGAGATCTTGGGCTTGGATTCGTCACATCGAGCCGCTCGATTCGACTATAAGCATGTCACGTTTGATAATCTAAATTATGGTTTGAACCTTCCAAATGCACTTCAGGTCTTCTATTTGGACTCATTTGGGCTTGGATTGAGTCGAAGTTGGTATCATTATGTTCATATTTCTTGGACGTTCAGTTTGAGTATAAGTTTGATGAAATTGGAGTTTATATATTCCCGGATTTAATTTTTGAAGTTTCCTACTTGATTTTGCTTTGAGATTCGTGACCTATCAAGATAAATTTTCGATGATATATCAGATATATATAATGAAAACAAAACCCCAAAAAATATTGTTTAGGTGTAGATTCATATGATTAAAGTCATTAAACTTAATGAATAAATAATTTAATTATTAGGCTTAATAAAATGATTTCATGACCGGCAATTAAATTTCCAAAAAAATTTCTATTTCCTACTGCTTTTCCTCTGCTCCGCTCGACTCCTATTTGCTCTCGGCCTTCGCGATTCGTCTGCTCCGCTCGACTTCCTCCTTTCTCCTTCTCCACTCCCATAAGCCGCCCGACGTTTTCGTGTCCGCCTCAAAAATTAGAAAAATTTACCAACATACTGCACTCTTTCTCCCACCTTGCTTTTTTTTTTTTTTAATACTATAGAGTTCGGCTAGACCTATACCTCTTCCTTGAAGACAACCTACTAGGAACTTGCGGTGCTCGACGCCTCCACCAATCGACCTCGCCGTCTCCAGCAAACTACAGAACGCCTTGCCATACACGCCAGCAGACCTCGCAGGTATGTAATTTTGAATGTACTTTTTTTAAAAAGTTTCAGGTCAAGTTTTTTGAATTTATAATGATTTATAGGGTTTTTTTATAGTTTCAATATTTTTGAAACGGTTTAAAATTGGCAAGAACAAAAAATTTCAGCAGATCCAAATTTACATCAGCCGAAAATGTTGAGTTCAGGTGTTTTTGTATTGATTTTTTTTTTGTTGGATAATGAATATTATTATTTTTTGAAACCTTCACATTTATATTGATTTTCTATCCTTCCAGCAGACTCATTTCTTCTACATCCTCCCAAAAAAAATCGGTTGAAATGTCCGTAAGCGCATCTGCAATGATGATAACAACTGTGTCTCCTGCCATTGTTCAAAAATCACAGGAGTCCCTGCCTCTCAGCCTCCTACCAAAATGCTCCTCCCTCCGAGAAATCCAACAGCTCCACACCTTTGCCATCAAGTCCCACCTTCATTGGGCCAACTCTTTCCTCTCCAAGCTCATCGACGCCCTGACCCTCAGTCCGACGCCTCCATCCATGTACCATGCCCACAAGCTGTTCGACCAAATTTTCCATAGGGATGTTGTACTATTCAACACACTTAGCCGCGGTTACTCACGTTCGCATGAACCGCACCAAGCCATTGTCCTCTTTTGCCAGATGCTTGAGGCTTCCATTGCCCCTGATGCCTACTCCTTCCCCTCCCTACTCAAGGCCTGTGCATCCGCCCACGCCCTCTGTGAGGGGAAGCAGGCACATGCGGCCGCCGTCAAATGCGGCTTCGCTTCTAATGCTTTCGTGCTCCCCACCCTCATTAACATGTACTCCCAATGCGGTGACGTCAAAGCCGCCCGCACCATCTTTGACCATGGGACCGACCTGTGCGTCATCTCTTACAATTCCATGATCACAGCCTGTGTGCAGAGCAGTCGACCAAGCGAGGCATTGGTGTTGTTCCGAGAGATGCAGTCTAGGCGGCTCCGTCCTACCAATGTCACGATGCTCGGAGTTTTTGCCGCTTGCGCTTTGATAGGGGCACTTTACCTTGGAAAGTGGATCCATGAGTATGTGAAGAAGAACGGCTTCTCATCCTATGTTAAGGTGAACACAGCACTCATCGACATGTACGGAAAGTGCGGTAGCTTGGAAGATGCTATCGGAGTGTTCAAGGGGATGGAGTTTCGAGATACGCAGGCATGGTCGGCCATGATTGTGACTTACGCGATTCATGGACAGGGTATTTTGGCACTCAAGCTGTTCGACGAAATGCTCCAAAAGGGAGTTAGACCGGACGGCATAACCTTTCTGGGAATCCTATACTCTTGCAGCCACTCGGGCATGGTTGAGCAAGGCCTTGGATATTTCCGCATTATGTTCAGTGATTACGGAATCCTTCCGGGAATCAAGCATTATGGTTGCATCGTTGATTTGCTGGCTCGAACAGGGAAGCTAGAAGAGGCTTATGATTTTATCAATGGTTTGTCGATCGAGCCAACGCTGATTCTGTGGAGGACTTTGTTGTCAGCCTGCGCAGGGCATGGGAATGTTGACCTCGGTAAAAAAGTGTTTGACAGAATCATTGAATTGGATGATTCACACGGCGGTGACTATGTGATCTTATCAAACATGTGTGCATTGAATCGAATGTGGGAGGATGTGAACGAGATTCGGAAGTTGATGGGTGAGAGAGGGGTGGTGAAGGTGCCAGGATGCAGCTCCATTGAGGTTGACAGCAAGGTGCACGAGTTCTTCGCCAGTGATGGGAAACATCCAGATTCTAAGAAGGTCCATAGGATGGTGGATGAGGTTATGGAGCAACTCAAGGTGGTTGGTTATGTCCCTGATACTTGTAAGGTGCATCATGTGGATCTCACGGAGGAGGAAAAGGAAGTGAGCCTTAGATATCACAGCGAGAAGCTAGCGATCGCATTTGGGCTCTTAAACACGCCGCCAGGATCAACTATTCGGGTAGTGAAGAATCTCAGAATCTGCAGTGATTGTCACTCAATGGCGAAGCTGGTATCCATGGTGTTTGGAAGGCAGATAATCCTTCGGGATCTCAATAGGTTCCATCATTTTGCCGATGGACAATGCTCTTGTGCTGACTACTGGTAGAAAGAAGCACAATCTTGCACTCTTTCCCCCACCTTGCTTTTTTTTATTTTTATTTTAATACTATAGAGTTCGGCTAGGCCTATACCTCTTCCACCCAATCGCTCCTTGAAGACAACCTACTAGGAACTTGCGGTGCTCGACGCCTCCACCAATCGACCTCGTCGTCTCCAGCAAACTACAGAACGCCTTGGCATACACGCCAGTAGACCTCGCAGGTGTGTAATTTTGAATGTACTTTTTTTAAAAAGTTTCATGTCAAGTTTTTGTATTTATAATGATCTTGTACACAAATTTGTATGGATGATATTTGAACTTATTAGTAGGCAACCTCTAAGAGCACTGACATAAAAACTTATGCGAGAATGGAGAGAGTAAGTGGGAGAAAGAGAGCTTTGTAAAAAGTAGGGGTCTCGATTTGTTAACAAACTCGTGATTCGAGCTTAGTAAGGCTCGGCTCACAAGCTTGCGAGTTGGCTCGTAATAATATAACTGAATTATTTTTGTACTTACTACTTAGTCAATCTTTTTTCTATAAATAAAAAATGTCAAAAGAAAATAAATAATGCTTTTCAAAAAACGGACAGCTTGAGTTAAGCATTACTCGAGCTCGAGTTAACTCAACTCGGTTACAGCTTTAGTAAAGAGTAGTCCAATAACTAAAATATATGTAATTCAAGTGCTCAAGAATATGTCAAACATTCAAAATGTTTCTCTTCACCATTTATTTATAAAGATCTAAGCGTTACAAGAAATGCTGCATCAAATAAAATGAATAAAAAAAATGCAATGCTTAATCACTCTTAGCACAAATTGTCTTAGACATGTGTCGCACTTTGGCTGGCTAGAGGTAAGATGGCTTTACTTGACCTTGAGTATTTGTCTCGAGGTGAGTTTAGTAGTGTGAGTGCATGTTCAACCAGGCATAAGCAAGATCGTTTACAAGTCTTGAACTTAGAGATATGTGATTGGCAAGTGCTTTGAAGTTGTTGGTGACATGTGATGGAGCTTTAAATCATCTAGAAATGAAAGGAGAGTGAGCTTAAGTTATGGCAATTATTGACTCGACCTGAATCAAACCCAAAAAATTTCAGGTTCGGGTCAACCTGTTTGCCTGACGAGTCGGGTTCGGGTTGACACGAAAACCCGAAATCAACTTGAGCTTGACCTGTGAGCCACCGATTTGCACGTACCAGTCGGTCTCGTGTCCAGTCCGGCTTGTCGCACCCATCCCATCGCGTTGTGTCAGGTGTCCTATTGTCCTGCCTCGGTCTGGCGTCCCACACATTTGGTCCGGCCTCGGTCTTGCGTCCCGCACTCGCCTCCTATGCTCACCTGCAATAGTGAAGCATGCATTCGTGGCTCAACCGATCAACCCCACATCCCGCGTAGCCACACTGGCCTCTCCTGCAGCGCTTCCGAACTCAATTGCCCATCCCTCCCATGTCATGCCCGCGCGTCCGAACTTAGCACTCGCCTGCATCAGGTATTTGCATCTTGGTTCGTGGGTCTGGTCGAGTCAACTTGGTAACCTGTGCGGATCAGGTCCGAGATGGAATTCCTGACCTGCTTGTAAAATTGAATCCGGTTAGGGCCAACCCATTTGGAATGGGTCAATTCGGGTTGGACTTGAATTTGACTTATTGACTCATTTTGACACCCCTATTACGAGGAAGATAGGTTTCATGGTTGATTGATTGTCATAGGGCAAGTTAAGAGCATGTCATGTAGATGATTCCTTGTAGCTAAAGTGGTGAGTATGAATGATGATACTCCATTGTGGGTGATGGCGAGCATGATTCACGATGACCCTTGGTTGTTTGTGTGGGAGGAGACTCTACTCGAAGCTAGACTCATGATCTTTGGGGAGAGCTTCTTTGTGGGCTCACAAAGTGGGAGCTCTTCTATCATCATCCGTCTAGTATCTCCTAAATACCTGAAAATGCACCAAAAGATGAACTTCATATGATTCAAGGCTTAAGTACATCCCTAGCCAACACTCACATTAGGATTCTACTACATCATGCAATAATCACAAAATCTTCAAACAAAAAAATCCTATACCATCATATGAAGTTCAAACAAAAATTTCAAGTGAATGCAACTTAATCTCTCCTACACTGAATAAGTACGGCCCTCAACTCTTTAATTAAGAGAAATTTTTCAAGAACTAAGTTTTACAAAGCGTTGAAAGTGAATAAAAACCTCACCTTCTAATTTACTTATAATCTATCTCAAATTCTAGATTGATGTATAAAATGATGACAATTGCTCACAAGATTAAATAGAATGTGTAAACAATTAAACTTACATATCACAAAGTATCCTAATAATTGAGTTGAGATAAAGATACTACTAATAGATTTTACACGTCAACGAAAATATTAAATGATTATATAGTTGTGTCCTTGATGGCGTACTAGTTTACTTCTAAATGAAAACTAGTAAAATTAATTTTTGAAGACATGTTACACTAGTAGATTTTGGGAAAATTAAATTGACATTTACGAGAAAAATATCATGCTGCTAATAGATTTTACGACTAGGAACCATTCATGCAATGTCTTCATCTAATTCATAGAGAAAAATATCATTGAAACCAAGTGACTATATTAAAAGATAGATTCCCAAATGATTAGTTATTGATGGAAGCTTTGTTAATAATAAAATTGATAGCATCTTAATCTACTACTGCCTATATATGTAGATTAGAAGTCAATAGAGATCCCTATTAAACTTGAGGTGAAGCTGTAAAGTTAAAAGTTCATGTAGAGTCAAATAATGCAAGATATGTTGGACTGAAGATACCGAGATAAAAAAATTCAAATATATATATATATTAAAAATGCGAGCGAAGGAGTACTTTAATGCTAAAGGATTTTTTTTGTGTAGACGAGGGTATATTTAGATCAATTAAGATAAATTCACATACACATTATGCAAGATTTAAATTCAATACCTCTTAGTTGGTAGTTAAAAATCCCAATCAACAAATCAGAATAAAATAAGGATTGCCCCGTACCTTCAAAAAAAAATGCAGAATAAGAAGGTTTCCCTTTTCACCATTTGTCAATTCTTAAAAAAACTATAGCATGAATTTCTTATAAACTAAATTTTAGTAGTCATTTTTCTCACCATCTTTCCTTCCAATATATCCACTATATTTTTAGGCCTCTTCATTGATTTTTTCTTGCATAAACTTTGATTCTTTCAATGCATGTTTTAAAATTATTAATGCACCTGAAATAACAAAATTACATTTACAAGAAAACGTTAAATTGCATGTCCGAAAATTCATAGAAGAAATAGGACCCAAACTAAAATTTTCAAGAAAGCTTGATGTAGGAATTAATAATAATAATTGTATATAGTATATTTTTAAATGCACTAAACGTATATATATATATATTAAAAGAACTTAAATAGTCAATAGTGGCATATGTGTTGATAAAAATCCTTGAGATATTTGTGATTGATTCATTTTATAACAAAAGAACGCCAACGGAGGGCAAGTTAGCACACAGCAAAATCAATAGAAGTTTAAAACAATAGAAAACGCTATTTAAAAGCAAGCTTTACATATAGCACATACCCTCGGGTAATCTGGTTCCTCCTCAATTTTGTGACATGCTTGTTGCTCCTTTATCCTTTGAGGAAGTTAGAAAGGCTGTTTTTGATGGGAATGAGAACACTGCCCCTGGGCCTGATGGTTTTTCCTATGCTTTCTATAGGAAATCTTGGCATTTTATTGGTTTGCAAGTGTTTAATGCTGTAAATAATTTTTTTACTAATGGTTCCTTGCCGAGAGGTGTTAAGGCTACAGCCATAGCTTTAATACCCAAATGTTCTCATGCTGCAAACATCAATGACTTCAGGCCCATATCACTCTGCAATGTTCTTTACAAAATTGTTGCCAAAATTCTTGCAAACAGGTTGAAAGTGGTTCTACCGCACATTATACACGAAAGTCAATCCGGATTTATTACAAATAGATGTTCTACTGACAACATTATCCTTGCTGCTGAAATTCTTAGGGATTTTAAGGGTTCTGAAAAATATTTTGGTGCTAAACTTGATATAAAAAAGGCTTTTGATACCGTCTCAAGGGAATACATCATTGCTAGACTTTCTCAGAAGGGGTTCCCTACTGCTTTTGTTAAATGGATTAAAGGTTGCATAAGTGATGTTCATTTTTCCATTTGTTTAAATGGATCTCTTGAAGGCTTCTTCAATTCTTCTTCAGGACTTAGGCAAGGTTGCCCCTTATCACCCCTTCTTTTCTGTATTGCTATGGATGGCCTTTCTCAAATCCTTTCTGACACTCACAATTTCCAAGGCATTTATTGTAAAGATCTTCTTATTAGCCACTTGATGTATGCTGATGACCTTTTAGTGGTTGGCAAATCCTCCATTGAAATTGCTACACAACTGAACAGATGTTTACAGATATTTGGATCGCTATCTGGCCTTCACATTAACTCCAACAAGAGTGCCATCATGTTCTCATATCATAGCCTGGAAAATCAAAGGATTTGTGATGAACTTGACATTCATAATGTCAATCTACACCTTACTTACTTGGGCATCCCGATTTCTACAAAAAGACTTAAAATTTCTCACTTCCAACCTCTTCTGAGCAGAATTTCTGCTCTACTTGCTGGTTGGAAAAATAAGTTTCTCTCTTTTGCAGGTAGGGTCCAATTTCTCAAATTCACTATCTCCAACACCCTTGCCTATTGGATTCGGGGTTCCATTATACCTAAAAGTTGCTGTGCTTCTATCAATAAACTTTGCGCAAAGTTTTTATTTCATAACAACTTGGTGGATAGGAAATTACACTTTATATCTTGGGCCACTACCATCCTTCCTAAATCTAAGGGTGGGCTTGGTATACCTTCTATTGAGGCTCTCTATTTTGGGGTTTTGTGCTCTATCATTGGTAGGTTTTATAACAATCAAAACCTCCTAACTCTCTGGTACAAAGCCAAATTCATATCTCCTTGGAAACCTCCACCAAGCACTGCCTCCAAATTCTGGAAGAGAATTTCGGAGACTGCCTACAAGATTAAGGATGAGCTAAATTTTTCTGTGTCCAATTTCAGTGATTTTGCTTTTTGTTGGGACCCGTGGCTATCTGGTAATTTCATTGGAGAGGCTGTGTGTGTTTTGGATGCCTCTTTGGTGAAAGACTTATTTTTTAACAATACTTGGCACCTTCCTACTACTATTCCTTTGAGCATTAAAGATCAAATTATGGCTGTGGAAATCAATAGGAATAATGAGGTCTTGTGGAATGGTTCCCATAAGTGGTTATTCAAAAACTTTATTGAGTTTTATTATGCTTCCTTGCCGAATGTGGGCTGGTGTAATTCTATATGGCATAAATCCCATGCATTGAAATTTGCATGTTTTGCTTGGATGGCAAGATTGGGTAAGTTCAAAACAGCAGATAATCTTCTTTTACGTGGCATTCAGGTGCCTTTGAATTGCTCTTTATGTTTGGGAAATCTGGAGAATCATTCACATTTATTTTTTTCATGTGACTTTACATACTATGTTCTGAAAACTATTCTGCCAGATTTCAACTGCTTTTTACTTAGGCCAAATTTATCTCAGACTCTTGAATTCATTGAGAACTCGGCCAGGTTCAACAAAACAGAAAAAAATTTCTGTTTTCTTGCTTTAAGTTGCATTATTTATCATATATGGAGAGAACGCAACAACAGACGCTTTTCTGGTCTTAGAATCAATGTGGCTAGATTGATTTGCAATATCACTTCGGCATTAAGATTGAAAACTTTAAAATGGAAATACAGAGAATTATTGCTGTGCAGGTTCTATGTTATTTAGCTTGGCCGGCCTTCTTTCTCCTCTGGAGGGTTTCGATTTCTGTTTTGGCCTTTTGGAACCTAAATCCTGAAGTCGGTTTCACCTGGTTCAGTTTTGCTATTCTGATTTTTTATCAATTTCAGACCTGGGACAGGTTTTTTTGGAAATGTGGCTTTTTTGTTTCGCTTCCACATTCCAGTTTGCTTATGGATCTTTTTACCAGCACCTCTCGGGTATACATCAAAGACTATGGCAGTATTTTTGTGGTGGTCATGGGCCAAATGGACGATGATGAGCAAGGACTGTCTCTCCGAGCTATGGAGGGTCTTTTTGGCAACCTGACTCGTTTTTGTGGCTTCTTCTTGACTAGCTGGAGGCACTGTGATGGCCAGTTTTGCTGGGTTACTCGACGCTTACTCAGGTTTTGTGGGCAACCAGTGCCACCGTCTGCTTCAATTCAATCTAGATTCTGAAATTACTTGATGATTGAGACAGCGCCTGATTTCTGAGTCTAATGTTGTTGCCAATTTCCATTTACTTTTCTCTGCTATAGTCTTTGAGAATTTTGTTTAGTTTTAGCTCTTTGCCTTTCTTTCCTACTTGTTACTTGTAATTTGAATTTCCTTTTTTAATATATGGGCTTTTCACGCCCCGGGTTTACAAAAAAAAAAAAAAAAACATATAGCACATACCTCAAAACAAAAAGTTAGACGAGAAATCTTAGCGCCCGCCACCCCCCAATGACACACACACACACCCTCGATCACATGAGGGAAAAAAAAAAGAAACAAAATCAAGCCGTGGGCGTAACACCGAGGATATTAATCCTTCGTGCAGTAGGCACCACCGCGCAACTCTTGCTCCTTGGAATCCCCAACTTATAAATATCCCCATCAAAGTCATCGCATGGAGCATCCTCATCAATCCTCCCAATAGCAGGCGCCACGCTTTGGCTCCTTTTAATCGCTTGTGCCATCCCTGCAGCTGCATCATCATGATCTTGCTTAGAATTCGCGCGAATAAGCTCCTTAAAATCATCATCCCGGCCACTCCCTCCTCCAAAGCCATTTGAGTTCCCAAATGCGTTGACGCTGCGAGCGCGCGGCATCATCGCCACCATCCCTGCAGTAACTCCCGTCATTGGGGCTCCACGCCCACCTCCACCTGCTCCTGCGCAACCACCGAGGCTTTTCACGTACATGTCACGAGCGCATCGTAAGGCTCTGAGCGGGGCCTTCATGCACCGCATAAGACTGCTGCTCTTCTTCTTATGAGACGCCTTTGTCGCGTTGTTTTTTTGCTGGCCCATCGCTGCTACTTTCTCTGTCATCCTTCTTGAGATTTACGAAGGGATATCGATGCTCTACAGTCTTCTGTCTTCACACACCTATATATATAGAGAGAGAGAGGACCGGTTCAACGGTACGGTCGGGAGAAAGACGTCATAAATTCATTAACGAAGAATAAAAAAAATTGTTTGCCAATTGACAATGTCCGCCCAGTCTCTATCTTTAATTTTTAGATATATGACATTAATGATGTGTGATGATTCCCTTCTTCGATCAACTGTATTTAATTTGTTTGTTGGAGGATATTTATAAATGTTTAAAGGATTGAAAACACTAGATAGATTATTAATTAACAAGAAAAATTTGTCTGGCTTGCTTGCTTATCAATCTATATCATGAAGTGCATGGTTGGCATCATAAATTGCTAAATTTAACTAACGGCGATAATTTTCAAGCAATATTTAAGAACTTCTAACCTGCTTGTGAAACGTGTCATTTAACATAATTCTAATAGCGTGCCATTTTGAACAGATTAAAACGAACCCTGTTGCACGCAACTAATATATATATTTAAATTAATTTTTTTAAATTAAAACACGAATTATCTAAACTTCGATTTTTATTAAATTAAACATTTTGACCAGAGGAAATATCGGCACAAAAAAAAGATCCTGTCCAAATTCAAATTTTTTGAAATCAAGCATTTTCAGCGCATTAAGAAAGTATGAGACGTTAATAGGTGGCTAAATAATGTTCAAATCTTCGTGCTTATAATAAAATTGGGCATCTCGATGCGATGAATGCAACAAGCCCAAGAGTATATAATTCTAATATCATTAAAGCAACTAAATGTGGAAAGACATGTCTAATGAGGTGCATTCGAATTTTCTCTATATTTATGGAGTAATATTCTCAAATTCTATAAATAAACCCACACTATCCACATGAAGGGGAAATACATTGGCTTCAAATTAAAGAGAGCTCAAATTCTCTAAGAAACCAGGAGCTCCACACGAGCACCATTATCAAATCATTGTTTGACCGCCATCATCGAAACATCACCCATTATGACAATTGGACCATTGATCGACCAAGATTGTTGGACCACCACCCAACCAATTTTTTTGTACCATTATCATCCAACCACTATACTCGACTATGATCCCCCAAATTCTATCTCCTGATTGTAAGCCTCCCACCATTGTTGCTTCATTTGACCTTTGTTGTCTGAATTTTTTTGTACCATTATCATCCAACCACTATTTTGTACCATTATCATCTCAAGCCACCTTCTTTGCCTCAAATTCAGATCCTTCTGAGTGAAAATGTACTTCAAACTCTTGTGATCTGTGAAGATCTCACATCTGACGCCATACAAATAGTGACGCCAAATCTTCAAAACAAAAACAACTGCAACTAATTCCAAATCATGTGTCGGGTAATTCTTTTCATGTGGTTTTAACTGTCTCGAAGCATAAGCAATTACCCTACCATGCTGATGCAGCACACATCCCAAACCTTTTAGTGAAGCATCACTGAACACTTGAAATCCTTCCGTACCTGACGGTAGTGCTAACACTGGAGCTGAGGTCAGACAATCCTTCAATCTCTGAAAACTAGCCTCACACTCTGGTGTCAAACAAAAGCTACTGACTTCTGAGTCAGTCTCGTCAGAGGTGTAGCAATATGAGAAAATCCTTTCACAAACTTTCTATAATATCCAGCCATGCCTAAGAAACTACGTACCTCAAATACCGTAGTAGGCCTTGGCCAATTCGCAACAGCCTGAATCTTCTGGTGATCAACAGAAATACCTTCACCGCTAACCACATGCCCCAGAAATGAAATGTTCTTCAGCCAGAATTCACACTTGGAGAACTTAGCATACAACTGATGCCGTCTCAGAGTCTCCAACACAATGCTCAAATGTCTGGCATGATCATCCTCAGAAGCAGAATATACCAGAATATCGTCGATAAAGACGATCACAAACTGATCCAGATACTCCTTGAACACTCTGTTCATCAGATCCATGAAAATAGCAGGTGCATTGGTTA